CGGTAGCCCTTTTTGATAAACTTATTTGTTTCCGTAAAAATTGAAGCACTCCTTCGTCAACCGCCCCGATAAAATATTATGGCGGAGCATATTAGAGCACAAACTTGGCTGCAATTACAAGCCGTTTTAAAACTAAGGGATTGGGATTCCGGCGGAAATGAATTCGAAATAATAATGATGATAATAATAACAGAGATAAAACGGTCAATTCAAGGTTAAGGATGATTTGAAAGGGATGCTCTTTGAAATACAGGAGTAACAAAAGGAGTCAGTTTGGGAAACCAATTACAACAACAAACTCGTGAGAAAGGATTACATTTTCCAATGTTCAAGCCACTTGTGTGCAGCAAATATTGTTGAGCCTGTTTACACGTGCAATTACGTCTGCAAAAAGATGGGAGAGCTAGAGACGATGTGCAGACACTCGCCCCCTGACAATGTCACTTCTTGTCAGATATATTCTTTACATGTGTAAAAACCCTCTATTTGACGAAAAAAAAATAGGATGCTGAAGCTTTGCTCATCCTCTTCCTAGCGGCGTAATGTAAGGGTAATCAAAAGAAGCAGGTCCCAAGTGGTACTTATACACTGATCGCAGTAGGCGGCACTTCGACATGACAATAAGCCCAGAAAAAAATCATATCTTGGGGGATGGAGTAGGATACCGGAGCGCTCTATCTGTAGAGGAATATAGCGAAGACACAACACGATGGGGGAATGGGCTATTTATTCTAGAGCGTGTGTACACACCATTGCAACTCTCCCGTTACCGCGAGGGGCAAATTGAAGCATATGGAAATAGGAGAAAGGGGCAAAGAGCTCCGATGACGGGTTAAAGACGTGGAAGACTCGGGTGATGTATATCGAGGCTTGTTTGGCATCATTTGGGATGAGTTTAGGTCTAGATAAAGTCATAGTATCAGTGTCATCTCTCTATATCTCTCTCTCTGCCTTGGACGCCATTGAGTGCTGCATATTAACACAAGTACATGTAGTATAGCCAGGGAGGTGGGAGGTGGGGGAAACAAGCCTCCCTGATTCATACTGATTCTACTTTTTCTACAGCGACAGACACCGTTATGAAAAAAGAGTAACATTTACCTTTTGATAATATAGTCATAGAATAACTGCAGTGCAATATCCATGATAAATAATAAAATGAAAATAAAAAGCTGCTCTGTATTGAATTACACACCACATAAAGAAATAAAAACGCCTCAATACTCTCTATCAAGAACTGAACAAAATGGACTTATTCAATCGGGTGACAAATTTGCAGCCGCTGCGGCTCTGATAATAGAATATACTGGATTACTGCAAAATTTACCTTATAAAGGCATATTCATAACGAAAGAGGCAGGGGGTAAAAAATGAGTCCCCCTTCGCACACGCATTATGTACTTCAGGATAATTCAATTTAAACATTATTTCCCAAATTTACCGAGATAGTAGCGTAATGAAATCATCGCTCCGATGAAGCGGGATGAGGTTTAGCAGCACTGTCGGAACCCCCCCCCCCCCCCGACCCAAGACCATCGCAACCGTATGGTATGGCTACCACACACCACCACCATCGCGGTGATATTCCATTTTCCATTTTGTATGTATTGCATATCATTAACATTTCTCATATAGCCGGGAACCTGGGACTCACATTACTCATAAGCATCACTCTCCTGGACTCTGGAAGAGAAGTGGTAGAGGAAGCCTAATGAGTCTGCGGTTGTCGTTATGCTGTAAGAGCGATGTCGACCAGGGGTCACAACAAGATCTAGGTTGCCCCCTATAATTGGCTAATATAGGAAAGACCGATCGTGGGATGATAGGGCTTTGGTAGAAAAAATCCTTTAAGTCATTTGCAGATAGACTGCACGAGCACAGGACTGCAGATCACTAAATAATTAGGTCCGATATGACAGCTAAAGAAATGTATTAACAAGGGTACGCCTGGCGGTCTATTACTAACATGACTTGACATACCCTTTAATCAAATATCTAAAAGTTATATGACGATTACTAGGTTAGTTTGTGTCCACGTTTGAACGTATTATTTTTTATCTATACAACTTGCATGAAATCAATAACCGGCTGTTATAATTGCGCGTGTAAATCATTAAAAAAAAAAATCGTAAAATATTGCCCGTATGCAAATCCCTATCATGATACTAAAACTAAACAGGTACGACATGTATCACGTATACTGTTTCTGATAAAATAAAAACCGCCATGCTTTCATCTGCTACACGTTGTAACATGTATAATTATGATCTAACCAGAAGTCTGGGGGTCACGTGACTGAAAGTACAGGCATGCGTGTCAACATGCTACTCGTCATCACGTCCACTAATTGTTTTAACATCTTACTCTGATAGGAACGCTTGGCACGTAACTATTATCACAATTTTCTTTATTTTATTTGTCCTTTCTTTAATATTTCTACTTTGTAAACTCTAAATGAAAGTGAGGTGCAAGGCTAAGCCTTTCAACTATGGGGACTTTTGTATATGAGTTAATGGCGCCGTACCGGGTACGCCATTAGTTACCATTAGTTGTGTGGTGGGGATCGGGAAACGGGGAAGTGCGATATATTCACCATTATTTTCCTCAGTTATGTATATAAAAGACATATAATGGCACCATAATGGTGAACTTATAATCGGCTATTTGCATGTGCAAGGGGCTTATGCTTTCAAAAATGGAGAACCATCGACCTCCCCCCCCCCCCCCCCCCCCCCCTCAAAACAAAAAATGATATTTAAGAAGATGCGTTCAGACAAATGCATTTAGGTGATATTCAGATATTTTCGTCTCGATCGATAGACCGACAGTGAAATCACTTTTCGCGATATCAGTATTGAAATCAAGGATGCCAGGGGGCGAAATGAATGGCCATGTTCAATCCCATATGACAAGGCCGGGGTCGCATCAAAATGGCGGCATCAAGCATCTCTTGCATGCCTCGGGCGGACCTTAGCCTTACCAGCTCAAAGGAGCTATGAAAAATGCATTAAACATAATACCTGGACACCCCTAGGCGATGGGGATAATTGTCTGACATTCATCCCCAATTGCTCTACGTCTTACGTTACACGGTGTCCATCTCCGGAGAAGTGGTAGTGACCGACCCTTTCACAGCAGTACAATGAAACAAGAAGGTCCTTGCAAAGGATCCTCATAGTACATGCCAATGGGTTCAACTCAATGACACACAAGTGCAGTTCAATCATCCTTTCATTTCGTCTCTTGTAAAATGATACATGATCGGACTCTTTGTGTGCTCCGATAACACACATATCCTACTATCTGAATGATGACGGGTCTTCCTTCTGCGCGTGGAGAATGGGGATGCTGAACGAGAAACAAAACTACTCGGACCAAACGTGGAATGAGAGTAAGAAATGACTCGAAGTTGTTATCTCGATTTAGCATGTATTTCTAAAACCCCAATCAACATTTTTCTTCCTTTATCTACCGTTAACTTCTCAATAGTCCGGTTCTTGTCTGTCTGATTATCTCTTGTCTCTCCCTTTCTCATTTTCTTTCTCTCTTTATCTCTCCCTCAATATCTCTCTCAGCCCTTTCTCCACTCATCCTCATTTCGATGTCAAGCACTTTTAGCTTGCTTCCTATCGGTCATTTCTTGTATTTGTCAAAACATTTACACAAGGGAGCCCTTCAATTAGAGATTTCACTTTCAAGACTTCCCATTAGTCATTATCTCTGATAATCAGTCAAAACATCATTAAAATCGACCGATGAGCTCTTATCCGAGGACTAAATTTGGCATCTCAGTGACCACGGCAGGAAAACAAATATATAGGCCATATCAATATCCGGCAACGCCATCAAACCTTATGATTTTAAAATATTAAAAAACATCTGGTTTAAAAAGCCCGTGCCCTGACACTGGTAAAATCAAGAACACGTGGATAACAAATTAGCAAACATATCACATGATATTGTGAAATGTATCTAAATGTAATGGGAATGCACAAACATAGTGGGGGATGCCTATATACAATGGACGGTTACGGTAAATGATCAAAGAGACATGTTTTGTATGGAATTCTATCTCTTTAGAAAGTTGAAATGAAAAGAAATTAAAACAATTAACATCAAGTTATTTTTTGTAATACGACATTCACTCACTTATTATGAAACACACAGACGAAAACGAACCTCCCCTACCATTTCAATTTCATGACGTAACGAATACAATTAAAAAAAAATTGGGTGTGTCTTCTTAAGGCCCGGTCACACAGGAAGGACGCATGGGGAACGCACGGCCAGCGCATTGGAAATTTGCAATTTGGGCCAGTGCGTTGTCGTTCGCTAGGCGTGCGTCATCATTCGTTCCTCGTTCGTCGAGCGCGCTGGACCAACGCTGGACCAGCGCTATGCATGCGTCGTCATTCGCTGTGTGCGTCGGGATTTTTTGAGCATGCTCAAAAACGTGCGCCGAGCTCGACGCATGAATATACACGCCAAAGGCACGCCAGACATGCGCCGGAGCGCGCTAGACCAGCGCCAGACATGCGTGGAGCGCGCTAGACCAGCGCCAGACAAACGCGGAGCACACGCCCTGTATACGCACAGCGCGCTAGCTACACGCCGTGCATTTTGTGTCAGCTCGCTAGCTTTTCCAAAATTATGACAAAAGTTAGGCACACGTTCTTTTCCAATTTCCAATGCGCTGGCCGTGCGTCGTAGAACGCGGTGCATGCGTGGACCATTCGTCCAGCGCGCTAGCAACACGCTGTGCATTCGTGGAAGTTGTTTTCATGTGCGCTCTGTGTGCGCCCTGTGTGCGCCCTGTGTGCGCCCTGTGTGCGCCCTGTATACGCCCTGTATGCGTCCAGCGCGCTATGCATTTGGTGTCAGCTAGCTGTATAGCTTCGACAAAAGTTGGGCGCACGACAACGCACTGGCCAAAATTGCAAATTTTCCATGCGCCGGCCGTGCGTCCCCCATGCGTCCCCTCTGTGTGACCGGGCCTTTACCTGGCTGTCATTCAATCTTGAGATGTCCGGCTTGAGATAGTAGACGATTCCATCCATGGCGCCCTCCAGAGTGACCGCTCGGATCAAGAGGATGGTCATCAGGATGTACGGGAAAGGGGCCGTGAAGTACACCACCTGGTCAAATGAGAGGAACAAAACGTACAACCCCACCCCAAAAAGTTAGAATTCTGCCCGAACTAACATAGCCTACGCTAAAGAACACACTTTATTGAATACTTCTAAGGCATCCATATGTTTTTATAGATTTACTTTTTAGAGGATGCAATCTAAACTGACTTGCCGACCTAGCAAACACCGACATTAGAAAGATAAGTTTACTCACCCAAGCATTGTTATGCCATCTACATTTTGTGAAAGAAAAGAAACGTACACGTAGAAAGCAATTTTGGAAAATACAAAGTAATTAAGAACTATCACGTGTAATTATCAAATATAGATAAGTTTTAAGACAGAACATAATTATGCTTACAAATTGTCTGTTTTAAAGGCACAATTGAAATGTCAAGAGATAGTATCTCAATACCTGAAGCCAAAATTTGATAATTTGAATTTGTATTTTAAATGTCAAAGTAATGAGCACGTGGTTTAGAAGCTTGCTCATATGGAAAGCTGAAAGTGAGGTTATTTATGAGACCTATACGTGGAGCTATAAATTTACTTCACCTAGTTTTTAAGATGATTACAATTTTCCGAAACACAAAAGCAGGTTATTCTCGGATTAAATAGGTATGATAACAATGGATCCATCTAGCTGATATGATATATGAATGATCCATACGGCCTATTTAGACTTAGATAAGCGCACTTAATGGATGGGTTGTTTGTGAGTTTCCTGAATTTTTACAGGTGAATACAACATTCTGACCCATAGAAATACCTCTTATTCATGAATAAAATATGTTGATGATCGATCTACCTTGGTCTACACAAATGTACAAAAACATATGTTATATAAAATATGGACTTCAAACGTACATTAATATGTTACAAAATTATCATCGAAATAATCTGTATTTGAAATGTCATTTCAAATTTACAAAACAGAATTCTAAATTAACAAAGTTTTACAAACGATCGATAAACAATTCTGAAGTTCATATTTTATATAACATATTTCCATATCTTCTGCACGTGCAATCAAAGATTTGCTGGGTAGGATGATCTGCTAAACAAATCAACGATTTACATGGCTTTCGCTTTATTGCAACACAATATTTGGCAAATTTGGTAAAATGTACTAAAGGAATGTTACATGATAACAGCAGATGGCTGGTAAAAATTGTAACTACCCCGACACTTTTAGCATTCATAATACGAACAGGATTCTCAAGCTCATTTTCCAAGGAAGCCAAAAACCTTTCTCAGACCAGTATGGAAGATCGTTCATCACAAAGGTTTAAACAAGCGAATACATTTCATTCTAACAACATTCTTTGACGTAATTTCAGATACAAATGACATGTTGTGACATTGAATATGAGCAGGTTGAAATCACATTACTGCTCAAAACTTTCCATAATGTATGTATACCTTCGAACATACACACACACGCGCACACACACACACCCACACATCGCACGTGCATACGCACACACACCCAAACACTATACGGAACGCGTTCCAGCACCCACACGCTTTCATCCAATCAATCGTTCAGAGACAAAATGGCGTTGACATCGGGTGGTTACAGATGCCAAGTTGAATGGGTAGGAGTAGGGTGAGAAGGGCTACTTTGACGGAAGAAGAGTCAAAGCTATGATGAATTAACTGACACTCAAAGAGATGGAATGAATAAAATAAAAAAAGCAACAACATGTGACTGATGCTGAAAGAGAGAGGATATAATGGGTAGATAATAGGTTCTAAACGCTATACACATTTTCATTATTAATTTGTTTTGAGATCTATTTAGAGATATTTATATAAGCTTCACAAAGCGTCACTGCAATGCAGATGTTAATTGTGATGTTCTTCCGGTTCGTCTTCTGTAGCTTTCTTAAATCGTAGTCTGTAATTGTTGGATCGACTCGACGTGGTATGTGCATCAGAACAAAATAGCGTTTTTCTTCTCGGTTGAGGTTGGTTCAGCATCTCAGTCGTATTAGTGAAGTTGAATCTTAGAGTCAATGATCAGATCTTTCGCGACAATGTCCAGTTTACAAAAGTTGTTTTAAATCCCCAACACTACCCTTGATCCGCTGTTGCCTCAAACCATCAGATCCCTTATTACGTGTGGTGATAGAATGATTCATTTCGGGATAAGACGGCTTAAGGCAAAACAGACCCCTTTCGTGTTAGTTTGAGTAAAAACCACAAACGGAAGAAATGCTATTGTAACCATTGCAAGTTCTAGTTTTTGGTTAATTGGAGAAAAGATTCGATTAAAAAAAAATCGTCCAGGAATGATTATTTCCAGACCAGAGACAAGCTTAACCCAGACAATCCCTGAAAAGGTTGAGGTAATAGAATACGTGATTGCTTGGGTCAAGCAACTCTGTCATGGAGTGAATTTTTTGGTTCTTTTCTCCTTCTACATGCAACAAAAATCAATTAGCCTTGCATTGGTTGCTTTAGGATATAGAGGAGGGGGAAGTTGATTACACACAAGCTTAGTGTCAATTTTGAAATGATCTTGAGCCGTAAAGAAAAAACAAGACCAATAAACTTCTTATAAATATATGTACGACAAAACAGCCACAGTGCTTAACCCAAACAATCCCTGAGTCGGTAAAACCATATTTCATACGTGATTGTTCGGGTTAAGGCACCACACCTCACACAATTCTCTACTCGACCACCGCCCATGCAAGCAAGCCTCAACTGTCAAGCAAAAATAAACCCCGTCATGAAAGTTTTTATTACAAAATCCCTCCCCTTTTCGCCCCGTCCATCTTTGCAACAGTTCTTAATTCTCCTTCCCGTACCCCCTTACCTCCCTCCCCTGGACCCCAAATCTGTATAAAAAGAGAAAATGAATGGCAAATCCGTTGAATACAGATTTGCTTTTGTTTTGGCTTCGTATCCATCTTCGAACGTCCTTGTTTCGGCTTGCATTTTCCTCATCCACCAAGCTTGCACATCGCCACTTTTACCTTTCCTGACGTCTTGACACCTTTACAAATGCAGAGATAGCAGAGAAACCAGGCGAAGAACATGCAGAGCAAAAGCTGCCAGTTGATGCCGCCGAGTTGTTCAATACCATCCGATAAATGAATCTGGAGGATCTTGCGGCTAGATATGGGGTTAATTTCAATCGAGATGGTTGTTTTCTAAAGTATTTAATCAATTGTTCACTTATAGCTACTCTTTTGTTGGGGGGGTATTTCACTCACACACTCAGATACACACCTAAGTCCACAATCTTATCATTACTACTACACCGGTGCCTTGTCTACCTTGGGGGAATAGTGAGACGAACGTTTATGGTTCAGTTATTATCAGGTCGAATTTATTCACTAGAAAGTCACCTTCTAATTTGCAGAGTTGTTTACTTTCTGCATAAGATAGGCGATAGGACTTACCAACCTACCACCTATGGCTGAGCGGGAGAGGGTCTGAAAGGTATTCCTTTAAAACGACCCTACTCGTTTCATGTTTGTTAAAACTATGAGAGATTGATTGTGGCTAGCGAGTAATTCTAACCACCGGGACAAAACAAACATAATCAAAGAAAGTAAATAAAGTAATAAATAAATAAATAAGAGAAGCATAAATAACCCTACATCAACATTAACACGATTCTCTGTCTCCCACAACCTCACATCCTTCTGGTGGAGAAAGTAATGGGGCTAGCACAGGAACTTGGTAACTTACTCCCAGAATTCAACGGTCGATGAGATTGTCGTTCCATTACAAGGGTCGGTGAGGTTCCAAGACGGCGTCCCGGTGGGGTCATACGACATCTCAGTCGAAGTCATTGCCGTGGTTGTTTCGTTCACGTCCAGACTACTTGCGCCGGTGGCGAGGCAGCACGGGGTGTTCCACTCGTTGTCGCAATGTGAGTAGGGAAGCTTGGATGTAAAGGACATGAACATGTAGTAGAGAGCCCACGCCATGATCACGATGTAGTAGGTGTCCAAGAAGAACTGGATGAACATCCCAGCACCACCCAAACCTGAAGGACATATTATTACAGCGGGTTTAGACGTGTTAACCAGCTTAGGACAATGGTGCTTAAACAATTTTAAAAATAAAATTATTAAAATTAACTCTACAATTCAACTGCAGAATGAAGAGGGAAAAAAGCCTTAAAAGGAAGAAAAGCTATATAACAAATAAATTTGCACCCAGAAAAAGAAGACCGAGTTTATTAATGGCATGTTTATCGCCCCCCCCCCCCCTAAAAAAAGGATAATCTCAATTTAGGAATCACTGATTGAGAAAATAAAATTATAATTGTGATAGGTTTCGTGACCCTTTTAGGCTATCAAACGAGATATTAGGTGATTTATTGCACCCAGGCAACAGATAATTCGAACCCAGATCATTCCTAACAACTTACAGATTTTTTGACTTTTCTTAATGACATACATACTTCGATTCAAAATGAGATAAACCCCTGTTAAGTCTCCTACGACATCTGGTTATCTCTGTCATTCGATCAGGCCGAATCAACATCATACTCTCTATACGCAATTAATGTCCAGTGCTGAACAATAAGAGGTAACATAGTGTTGACTAACCCTTGAAGATTGGGCAGATATCCCATGCTGTCACTGCAGCCTGGTTGGTCCACTGGCCCAGGCCGATCTCAAGGATCAGTTGCGGAATCCCACCAAGAATCAGACAGATGAAGTAGGGGATCAGGAACGCACCTGCATGGTCAAAAGTGATAATAGTGACACTCTCTTAGAGTTTGGTTCGATTGCTTTTGTTTGATTAATCACATGTCTGCAGAGAGACACTTTTGAGGATTCAGTTAATAATAGGGTGCATAATGATGGAAGCTATGAAGTTAATACATAATTAGATAGACCTGAACTTTGGAACAGACTACCTTTAAATGTAAAAAAAATGTCAAACTGTTAAACAATTCAAAACTTGTCTTAAGACACATATATTCAAAATTGCTTTTGAGGATTAACTTACTCTGTTCACATTGATGTGTATTTCATATGTATTGTAATTTGCAGGTTTATTTGCACTTTTTTGTTATGTTTAATATGTAACTGTGTATCAGTCAATTTTGCTTTATAAGCAACGTTTTTATTATTATTATGATCAATTAATAAATTACTCAGTATTAATCTATTTCAGAAACATGCCCATACTACAATGGATTATACTACTTATCGTAGTAATAACTCGAAAATTTAACTAAGGTTTTAATTGAGCAATGTTAAATTTAGCTTGTCCGTAATGTAATCTCCTACACGTTCACAGTGCAAACATAAAAGAGAATATCTATATTCATAGAGGTACGATTTGTACAATAAAAGTTCATAAATCCACAAGAGTACACACTGCTTGAACTATGAGTGACATCATATACTTTTTTTACTGTCTTTTTATCAGTTTCCTTCCACTACTTGTGAGAATACGGCTATTAAAAGTTCGTTTAATGACAATAATATCCCCTGTAGAAATATATTTATATGGTTGTATGTCCCATTATTTAGTTATGACTTTTAAAATTTAATATAGATCCTCACGCCTGCCCTTAAAACATAATGTGTGCTGAGCTAACTAATTGATCATAAAGCAGTAAGCTTTGAAAGGCAAGAGTGGAACGGCATATGGAACGGCATATACTTCTTATTAACTTTAGACAAAACTTTTGCAAACTTTGAAACTTAAAGGTTTACCATTTAGAAAAGAAATTGAATGCAGTTGTCGTCAACATCAACATCGTATAGTAAAGTGAGTTACAATTAGATGAATATTGAGGTTGTCAATCATTATGTGGCATGATGTTTAGTACTTGGTTTAGTTTCTTATGATTGCTATACCAATTCAAAATGTTATTTTAAATGGAGCCTTAACGTTACATTAAAAAAAAGCGCGAAACACACTGCTCCACATGTTTTGACCAAATAAAAACCCCAGTAATATCTCGCCAAAAGACCAATCGAGCCAACACAATCCTCTATCTAGATGTACAGTACGACCCAGAAAAAACGAAACTGAGAATTATCGATGTTTTATCATAACTTAATCAAAATTATAATTAATAAATGACTCGGACACATATTTGTAAAGCTTAGATCCTCCTCTTTCATTTGATGCGACTCATATGATGCATATTTCACGCATGAGTGATTAAAAGCAATTTGAATGAAAGAAACTAAAAAGAAATTTGGCGGGCGGGCGGTATCTGAATTTCGAAGAAAAATTCACTTTTCTAAAAAGTTCAGTTTCTTACCTTTCATATGACACCTCAATCAGGCAAGATGAGCAAGGAATAACAAAGTTCAGTTTGTTAAAATCATGCTTGCATTTCCATAAGTGGATTTTAAAAGTTCGTTTTCACTGGCTGCCTGCCGTAGCAACAAGCAGAATTGAAAAAAAGACTTAACTCCGTTTCATTGACAATCAGCCATACATGAAGTCTTTCGTCTATGTCTGATCGTCAACGAAACGGAGTTAAGTTTTTTGTCAATTCCGTTTGTTGCTACGACAGGCACCCAGTGAAAACGAATTCGTTTAATCAAATTAAGGAAATGCAAGCATCACTTTAAACAAACAGAACTTTCTTATTCCTGGCTCATTTTTCCTCATATGAGTTGCATCACATGAAATGGATCTAAGCTTTACAAATATGTGTCATTTAATAATTATAATTGTGATTAAGTTATGATAAAACATCGATAATTCTCGGTTTCGTTTTTTCTGGGTCGCACTGTATAATGGGACTTCATCATTGAACTGGGCCACCGGTATCAAGGGTCACCTAACTCCTGTATGGACTTACTATTCAGGTTTGCATTACCCTGGTCGGTATCGTCCATTTATAAGGTTATACTATGAGTATATACTATAAAGCGGTGAGTTTGTACAATTTATTTTCCTGTCATGTGAATATATTTTCGGAAACGGAAATGCCTCATGGAAACAAGAAATCGATCACCGGTGGGTAAATGGTAATTGCATTTCAACAGTTAAGATAATTCCTGATAAGTAATCCATTTTATATCATTCACATAAAGGTAGATGCACTTTTTTTTACCCTGTCTTTGATATTTCCCCCTCTTCTTTCTCATTATTAGCATCACCTCATCATTTGTCTTATATTGACTTTTAATTGTATAATTTTTTTAAATATTATTGGGGGTAGTCCTCGGCCTTTTACATTAAATTGCTGATTTTCTTTTCTTTTTAAATCATACATTGCTCCATAATGAAGTCGTTTTTATATATGCTGTACACGTCTATTATTGTATTGTATATATGTATTATATTTTATGTATTTTCCTATGTCTGGCATTTGTGGAGAAATAAATTGAATTGAGAGGCTTGTCAAACTTGGTCACCCGCAACCATCTCCCTCAAAGATGAAAATGTAGTTTATAGGACAAGTCATAGCTATTCGCCAATTAGGTCCGAAATATGGAGACCTACTGTGATCGAAGAAAAAACTTAAATCTCTGGATATAAGAAGGAAAGACTTTTACTGATTTCCTGATTTATTGCATTGTACGAACACGACAAGAGTTCTACGGTGAACGATCCATCTTATACCCCGGTCATTTCGCCAAGCCGACTCCGCACCCACTCCAAACCGATCCATTTACGCCATTCATTCAAGATTAATTTATTGTCATGTAAAATAAATACATAATATTTGGCTTCGGACATTTTGCAGGTGCATATACATGTACATAAATTCATGGTAAAGTTATTGTTCGTTCGGTCCGGTGTGATTTAAGTATTATCAAGGTTAAAAGTGAAATAATGAACAGGCCTGTAACGAGGTAATTCAGGTCAATCACAGATCACTCGGCATTAGCCAATTAACGTGTTAGGTAATTTTACAGTTTAGTTTAATCCCAAAAATTGATTGCAGTGTGACAAAACTTTGAAAATATCACAAAACTTATCTTCCTTTCCCACCTTTGGAAACTTAGATTTTTCTGCCAACGAATCTGCTGCTTGACCGGTACGTTGGAAAACAAATTTGTCTTCAGGTATACGTTTGTATTGACACAGTATAAGTAAGTATACATTAGTAAATATGTCATAACTTCAAGGATTGTGATATACGGAGTTTAAACGAGGGACGTTATATAGCCCATGACACCCATATCGATGTGTTTTGTTTGATCGGTAGATAATGTAAGAGGTATAAGATAAGACTTGTATTTGCTTGGTAACTCCCGTTTAATTGTTCATACAACAGAAGTATCTTACTATCTGTTATATGTATATTATATTGTGTATTTATTTCCGTCAATCTGAAAACAATAAAATTAATATACATTTACAATCATAAAGACAAACTAAAAACAGAAAGACGGTGGGATGACCCTACTCAGCGTTGGTAGCATTAAAACGCTGTTTTACAGAGGGGTCCCTATAATGCTAATATCTGTAACATAATTTCATACACGATCATACAAAAGCTCAAGGCTCAGATGCCGCTGCATTTCAGTCACTTTGAAGATAGGTACAAATAAGTTTGTAATGGATCATTTATGATTGAGAATTAAGCAATTAGTGTCACAATAAAAATCATTTGGTATATTCCCCATTGATGATAACTTACATTACAGTGTAAAGACACAAAATACGTAAAGAATACCTCGCTTCATGACACGCAACTAACATTTGAAGGAATTTGTTTAATTGGTGTTGTCATTGGTGCTGGTATAACGCCACATAAATATTAAAAAGGGAACTTTCAATGGCTTACGATGCCATATTACGAAATAAATGAGAGTAAATGTGCGGTTTTTTTAAAGAGGGGAATTTCAGAATTATGTTATAACATACGTGGATTATAAAGCAAGTAATAGATATTTGAGCATGTCTTGTAATTTGTTTTGAATCCTATGAATTTGATCAACTGTGTGTTGTTACGATCTTTAAATTAGTAAAATGATTAAATTGCACTAAATAAATAAAACGTTACCACTGTTCTACCAAGAAGAAAAAAAAGACAATTAAATAATTGTTTTATTGCAAATGATGGAAATGCTTCTGCGATTATTTAAAACAAAAGAAGCAAAGTCGAAGAGAACATTAACAAAGGACAGGAGACAATGACCTTACACCCGACATTATAGATGATAAAAATAATGCATCATTGAGGCAAGGACTGAAAATGTAACCTCAGCTTCACCGCCTTTGAGTCATGTTACAATTACCTCAAATGAAGAGGTGTTGAATGTTCTTTGATTGCTGTAAAATGTTCATAGCCCACTTATAACATGATAATCATTCATGTAAACGATTCCATGGTCTTCGATGAAACGAGGGCACTTGGAATCTTCTTTATTGCACAATTACTTGGTCTACTTTCAGTCCAATCAGAAATGGCTAGTTTTGCACACTTACACTTTCCATTTGCGAAAGTAGCTTATCATGTTCACGATTTTGGACAAAGGAAAGTACAGTACTAAATCATAAACTGTGACATCCGATATTATGGAGCACTTATTCTTTGATTAAAGATGAAATGATGTTGTTATTGTTGTTGTTGTTATTATTAATATAAATTATTGATACATTTAAACTGAGAAAAGACAGAATGAGAAATATATATGGTATATCTTTACAAGCTACTTCATGGTTCCTACCTCCTCCATTCTTGTAGCAAAGATAAGGGAAACGCCAAACGTTCCCGAGTCCAACAGATGCTCCAATCAAAGCAAGCAGAAAGTCAAGTTGACTGGTCCAGGTCCCGCGGCTCTTCTGTTTACTCTTGTTTTCGCTCTCCTTTTCCAGCTTCTTGTTCAGTAGTTCCTTCTCGTCCAGTCCATTGGCCACTGGAGCCGTTGCCGCTGAGTCGTGGTTCCTGTCTGCCATTCCAGAAGCTGCAAAAGTAACATCAAGAAGTGGTTTAGAAAATACGCAATGCCAACTCTAAAAATACAGATTGGCGAATCCATAAATTTGAAATTAGTCAGGCCTTCTATGCAGTCTTATTGAGTGGTATAAATGGATTCGAGCCTCGGCACGGCACTAATGTCCCCTGGCAGAATATTGTCTACATTTGCCACTCTCCATCCAAATGTTAAATGGGTAAGTGGCACCAAGGAATTCTTCGAATGATGTAGGCACCTAAAATTGGTAGTCTATATAGCAAGAGCCTGGAATAGGCCTAATATTGAAGCGCCACGGGCACATTGCGTGGTGAAAATGAGCGCGTAGCATGAATCATACACTTTTTTTTTTAAAACATGAATGTTGGATCTAATTAACAAAACCTGTCAGTAATTTTGATCCGCCCGTCCCCTGGTTCACAATGTCCTACCACCTCCCCTCCTAGATAGTAAATCCCACTGCTGACACCAATTTACCTGTGATCGATATAAATATTATCTCAAGTTTAGAGCGCTTGTCGACTATCGGATTGCGAAGTCTACTTCGTACTTTTCACGACGTGGACTCAACGAAGACCTAAACATAATGCGATGCAAGGTCCATGTTTAAAGCTTATTGACTTGCGACGAGGAGATGGAGAATGAAACTTAATTTGTTTTATTCGAAATATGATTTCCGTGAAAAAATAGCATTTGTTGGGACAAACAGGTGATATTTTGATTTTGTAAGGGGACAACTATTTTGATGGACCGTGACATGAGAAAAGAAATAGAGGATTTGAGATTGGCAGTATTCGAACAGAAATCAAATATTCAGAATAAAATGGGGAGAAACGCTCCTTTGGACATGTACATGCAATATAAAAGTTCGGCGTCATGAAAGACCTGGTGAGGAAAATTCATAGCAAACAAAACGCCCCCTTCCCGTGCTTAATCAGCAATGCACGAGCTGGTTTTATGGAAGATGTTTATTTTCTTCCTCTAAAATCAATTAGGTTTTGTTATTTATTCTAAGCAGAGAATGTTTTATGAGAAAGAAATCACGTTTTTTGGTACAAATGTAGGAATGTGAGATATTTTAAATCCAAGGTTTACAAATACATTGTTGACTTTGGCCCAGCGTGTTTCCAATCTAAAAGGTCACGTCCATGTAACATGAATGTGAAAATGTCATCACATAATTTCTCATAATCATGAAAACAAGCCTCGCATTGCTTGGTGCTCGGAGGCAGTCGCGGGTGACCGTCATAATCATAACCAATCATAACACCATTAAGCACAAGCAGCCAGCTTCTCACATTGAAAAAATCTGGTTACCTAAAATATACTCAATGCTTTTTGCTTGACAAGTCTTGGGTGTGAAATAAATTGCCATCCCGTCCAAAGACACATACAGTACAACTTCCCCGAAACAGCTCAAAATTATGTTTGTTCTTTTCACTATGTATTGTGTCTAATTGTGTCACACTATTCGTCATTCAGGTCACATTTCTTGTTTTTCAATTATCTAAAATAGGCGCAAGTACTGATACAATTCCAAACTGTCAACCCAAATCTCACACAAGAGAGCAATATCTAGCAAAAGAATGCACATATCAGATTAGGTAAAGGGGTATAGAGGACCTGTGATCTCTATGAAATTTCTGGTAATAAATGAAGCCCAATGAATGCAAAGGACAAAAAGACAAAAATAAACAAAACAAAAAACACGCCCCTCCCCCCAAACAAAAATCTTTATCGTACTGCAATGCATTGTGTCGAGGAAACGTCGCACTAGTTAAGAAATAAAACATAATTTCTCAAACGAATCTATTACACATATTCCTCATAATACCCAACAAAAACTCGTTTGGAAGGTAGACTAGTTCCACAGCCACCTGCATTGATTGCTATTGTATGAGTTCTAAACGACCTTCAAAGGCCTATTAAATGATCTCTAGATACAAAGCGAACATCCCTCTGTTCTTCTGAAGTACATTGATCATAATAAATGCGAGGCTCGATGGATTGCTTCACCCCCACCGAAGGAAATGCTGTGGTGATGAATGGCCTACATTTTAAAGAGAAGGTCGGGTTCTGGTAACGATGAAAATGAGTTTTCTCATTCTATTTAGGTCAGTTTGGAAGGGTTTCATACTAGAAATGTCACCTGAAAATGATTTCTCTTCAGATGCCCTCATATTCGAAATACGACGAGAAACAAGAATTGAGAAATTAAGACCATACAGTCATGCCACATGTGTTTTTATAGTCCCATATACTTATTTCTGTGTGTAGTGTATGTGATTTTCAGCAAGGTTGAGTAAATTTTGGTTCATTCTGATCATTCCAAAAACGTCACAGTTATACATCAGATATTGCGTATTCAATATGCATTACAATTAAAGTCAACATTTCCCAATTGCTTCCAGACGATTTTTCTCACAATTATTTTTTTAGATTTTAGATTTAAACCTCCATCTCAGTCGAGACGGCAAACAAATTAAAGCTAGCAATATTTTTGTATCGCTATGCTATCGCTTTATCATACATTGTCGTGTAGTATGCAGGTCTATTGGAATAGTGTGGATAGTCTTCAACTATAATTAAATATGTATGGATATTTATCACTGCAAAATCTAGAGGTGAAAATAAATTTGGCCATCGAATCTACTGTCGTGACTTGGATTTTCAAAACTTCCTTTTAGTTAAAGATCCAAATAAACTCTTTAAAAAAAAAGAAGATTTTATATCCAGATTCCTTATTCAAAATTCAAGAAAACCTTGATAACGTACAGAAAACAAATAAGGATGAGGTCGTAGAAGATGAAATTTATGTCTCCCAAAATTATACGAAATAATAGAGGCAAACGTTTTATGTAATGGAATATGTTCGTAGAACTGGAAGGGAAGGAGAAAAAAAATCACCTTTTTTCTTCTTCACTTTTTAAATATATCCATGAAGGAAGACCACAACCGTCAGCATTTTTTCATTGTTTTAACACCTACATCGGCCAAGAAATGTACTATAATCATATGTATTAATTATATAATTATATATTCTGTGTTATGAGACATAAGAGCGTGATTTTACTTCAAGAAAGTGCTCAAGTTCTTCTGGTTCTAAACTATACACACGATATAGATATTTTATCGTACATAATTATGTGTGTGTATGACTGTGTGCGTTCGAGATTCATGCAGATATTATCCAGCTGTTTATTACTCAAGTACACACATTTCCAGGTGAAGAATTATGATAGAAATTTGACAAATGCAAACCACTTTGGCGACTCTCTGGAAATAAACACACAATTATTATTGTGAGAAATGAAAATGAGAATATATATATATTTACATACATAATAATACGATATTGTGCGTGTATGTTTGTGACTGTTTTATTGTCATTTGGGAAAGAGAAAGGGAGATCCGGGGATATATTTGATTTTCAATGAATACTCAATAAGCAATAACGATACAAGGGCGTTCAATTTCCTCTCAACGGGACACGAAACATCAGAAGAAAGACCCAGGTCCCAGTGTATATTTCTCCTTCAGTACATCCCACCCTTTGTCCGCGGTATCTAAAGCCAGTGACAACGTATTGATTTTTAAGGCACCCACAACGTTGCTCCAGGGACATTCGGGTATTTTTGGCGGGGAAAGTTTCCGAATAGAGCGTCGAAACCATCTGCGTGAATCATTGGATGGTAAATTCATTAGAAATGCCCTCCAGTTAGTGTTAGGAACGGAGAACATTCATACATAATTCCTTGCCATACCAAAGCTGCATTAGCATACCTTAACGCGTACCCTCGTCTACGTCTCTCCTTGAACTTGTTCACAGGGCTAAGGGGGACACACGGTGCATGGGGGTCACAATTGATGACCTCTTTAGTTTGTGAGTTGCTTTTCATTCATAAACTCCAGCATAAGCTCTCTCACTTTACCTCCCTCTCTCTCTCTTTCTCTCTCTCTCTTTCTCTCTATTTCGGTTTCTCTCTCTCTCTCTCTCTCTACAGAAACGATTTTCCATCGTCTCATCAATTACATACGACGGGGGTACCAAACTAGCAAACGTCGCATAATGTCCCCTCGTGACCTCATTCATTCATGAAAATTTGGCAGTGAACTCTCGGACTTGACCGATTTGCTCCTGACAAAGATCTTTAACTATTCTCCACCAAGCCAGGCCATGGGAGCGCGCCATAGTAATTCAATCACGATTTGCCCCCGCCATGTGCCCTAGTAGTGCTTTCACATACACGTGGCTCTGTGGCTCTGTCAGTGGTCGCATGGCGAAATGTTGTATTGTGAATATGCATAATGATTGCAGAGTCTGTCAAAAAAGTATTTCCTTTTCCTTTTCAATGCTGACAGGCTGACACCGTGGCGATAAAACGACTAGTGAAGTTTATGCTTACACGTTATAAATCGTCATAAGCATGGGGCACTAAACCAATCATAACACTATAACCCCATTAAAAAGCAGGGCAAAGCGATGTATATGTGAATCCTTCTGATTGTAGATGAGAAATGAGATGAGAAATGGTGAGACTATTCCAATGAGAGGTGAAATTATAAGAAACTAGGCAGATATCATAACTGACCCCCCCCCCCCCCACACTCCTAGTTTTACAGTATTCCCTGCTAGTGCTACACAATTCATTTAAGTACAAAGTTGTATTAGTTTTTGCAATCTTTCTTTATCGAAATTATGAGCATCATCAAACTGCGTTTCCTCAACTTATTAGGACCCCTAATTTTACTATAAGCCTAAATAATTATGCCCTGATGTAAACGATCAACATTACGATTGCTCGTATAATGGAGCTCCCTGTACGTACTATATTAAGTTAGCTTGTCATGGCCCGATATGGTGACAATTCCACCAACAGTGTTTAACACGTGCTTTGAATAGGCATAACATAGCTATATAATACTCAACCAATCTTTGAGATTAATAAAATCAAGAAGCGTATGCATGCGTGGCAATTACAAAAACCGAA